GCCAGCCAGCTAGCAATGAAACTGGAGCGTTTAATATGCAGCTACAGAACTAAGTGCACGTAGTAAGTAAATTCGCTCCGGTACCGTATTTTAGCAGAGAGCATACTGGAGTCCCCGTACTCTGACTTGCATATTTTCGTGCACGAGTTAATTTGCATGTGCGTTTAGTACTGCTCCAAAAACGCGTTATATTTCTTAATTTACGAGTTGTTTTGCCAGTTCGCTTTTAATGTACTTCATCGAAGAAACGCCAAAATATTAATTTACCGATGAGAGCTAGTGAGCAACCTCATGGTTAACTGCTGGAGGTTAATGTGACGTGCTTAAACAAATAAACTGATAGCCCAAGTTTTGATTAATGTTTTTGGGTGTTTTTTTTTTTTATAGACAGTTGAGTGGATTTAGAATTTGTTCCGGGGTGCATTTCCCAAAAGCGTAGTTGCTAACTAAATTAGCAACTTACATAGTTCGTCCATTCACAGTCAATGGGTCCAACTATGTAAGTTAGCATCTGTGATTTCGGGAAATGCACCACTGGGCAGAAAACCATACGACCAATTAAACAACATCACGTAAAAAATGAGGATAAGAAGGCGGAATGTGTTCGAACTTCTGACTTGCGTATAAAGATAAATTTTGCGGTTGGATTGTACGAATATTCAATGAAGATCATGCGGAATGTTCACTCGCCAGCCGGGTGAGCAGTCTGAGCTTATTCGGTCTCCGTAACAAATTTTCAGTCGCCAGGGATCTTGGGCGAGTGCGAGGATCGAGCCCTGCAATTGTTAACGATAACATCAAACGCTGTTTGCACAAACTCACATAATAATTTGACATGTAACTGCACTTCATTTCTATCTCAAATACGTAAAGGAGCTTAGTTAAGACCAATCGCATTCGCAGTACTAGTTAGCATTTATCAGCTGTGTCCCACCAGTGTAAGAGGCGCGAACTTCGATATTTATAATGTAGCCCTTTTAGTAAGACTGCCCTTGGTATCCATAATCCCTCCTCGGCCCATTTTTTTATGTCAGTAATTGTTAATTTAGGTAACAGCTCAAGATTGAGGACATTGAGCTTGGGTGATGCATAGGGGTAAGGTGCACCGCACTTGACAGCTGAGAGCTCATCCCACCTGAGCCTCATTTTCTATTCAAAATGGCGGTTGCGTGAAATCAGTGAATAGCCGGAGGTCTGGATGACTGAGGCAACAATTGGCGCAACATGCTAGTGATAAGGGATAAACCGGTTAAAATTTATTAGTTCATCGCTCTGTAGCGACCACTTCTGGTCAGCCAGACACATGTAGCTGTGTGAACTAAATTATACACTGACCACGTGATTCTCCGGTGGCATAGGCAGTGTGAAATTGGTGGTGCAACCGCACGGCGTAAAGAAGCAAGGGCTAGTTCTCACGTGAGACGGAGGTATCATGTGCCATGTCATCTTCCTCCTGAGTCGATGCGAGTTGGTGGCTTTGCAGTAGGATAAACAGTTTGGCAGTGTTCAAGGTGGGGAGAAAAGGGGGGGGGATTCAATCGTAAGAACACATTTTATGAAACATCTGTGGTATTTTATTCCCTGAAAAGTACAAATCATCCAGGAAGCTACTTGCCTCAGGAGAAAAAAAGAATCCTAACTCATTATTGTGATTAACTATATAATCAAAATTCAAGGTAATTATAAATGTGCCATTGATTAGATGAATTTGTTTGATTGACTACTTTATAAATAATTACTTTTAAGAGCCTATCAATGACAATTAAAATTCCCAGTATACTTTCTCGCTAAGTTTCTGGTCATGAGTTTTTCTCATTTTTCATGTTTCTGGGTTTTGGCTGTTATTATATGCTTATGCTATCAGCCCTTGTTTACAATGACAGCATCATCATCATCATCATCATCATTATTATTATTATCATCATCAATGTCATCATTGTCAGCAGTAGCCAAATTTTCTTAACTTGAGATTGCATTGATTGTGCTTTTAATGGTCCACAGAAAGAATACATCTGGTAGAGTGTCAGCAATAATAGGGAAATTGATGTCATCACTCAGGTTGGGCAACATGACAAATGGCTACAAAGTACAGGCACAATTATGCCTATTGATTCCAACATCTCTCCACTCTTGTTTCTGTAAAGCGATTAATGTTTTGCAGAACTTATCTTGGAACAGGGTGCACCTTAGAGAATAATGTATGTCAGAGCTGCATCAACGGATTATAATCCAGAATGACTTCGAATACAAAGAAAATCATCGCTTCCTTCAAGGTCTGTACTAGAATTTGCTTTCTCAGAGGAAGGAAAAATGCATCCCATCACGCTGTCTATTTTAGCCAGGATAAGTTGGTCCATTTCTCAGGTAGCAGTACATTTGAACTTATGTTTTAAAGCAAATTACCTGGCCAGCTTAAAAGTGCAGCGTTTCTGCTGTGGAAAAAAAATGGACCTCTGTGATAACTGATTTATTATTAATTTTCTGCTGGGAGCAATAAGACTTTTTTTTCTCTCCTCTTAAAACACCTTGTATCCATCCCATCTGTGATGTGCCACCACCTCATTACATTACATGTGTTGAAAACCACCAACACAGCTTCTTAGCCTCTGATATTCGGTTCACTGCTCAGATAAAGTGGATATTGGCAGCAGTGGGTGAACAGTTGGTGGCTTAAATCCCAGCGTGCTCTGAAGTGCAGGTTTATTTTCCTTATAATATTTCCTTAATACTTAAATTGGGCTGCATTTCAGGGCTATTGTTATCATTGCTGTTATGGTAGTTTATTGTTGTTATTATGATAGTTATTACCATTAAGACCAAGAAGAAGATGATGACAAAGGGCTAACAACTGCGCCATTTTTAAGACTTTTTTTTTTATTCAATAAGAATTTTTAGCTACAAAATACAGCAAAATTACACAGTACAATGTACTACAAGAACACAAATAGCCATAAACATATGTTTATTTAAGATGCATTGATCATCAAAGCCATTGCTTTTTCACCTTCAACCAAAAAACGGTTTCATTTAAAATGGCATCCGTCATGCAGTGTTCATTGACATATTACAAAGCCCTCATATGATTTACAGATTGGAACCTTGGACTTGACTCACAATGTATGGTTCCTGACAGCCAACGGCACTTAACATTGATAAACAATCTGCCAGCATCGCCGAGAAAGACCTGGGATCTCTGACTGCACCTGATGGCTCAAAATGAGGAAGGTTTGCTACGCCAGACTCTTAGATCTCACGCAAGCCATCTTCACGTTACACTGTAAACCCTGATAGTGTGGTGAACTCAAATGTTTTGTGGAAACCGATTACCTCAAAAAAATTGTGTGGGCCAACTTAATTGCATTGTGTGGAAGGACCTTTAAGAACATAAGGTAAAGTTATTTTTTTATGTTTTAAGTACTGTGAATACAAGATCATTTAGTTGGCATACTGATTTTTTTTGAGGTAATCAATTTCCACAAAACGTTTGAGTTCACCACACTATCAGGGTTTACAGTGTAGAGAGCTCGATAATCCAAATCACCAACGCCTCTTGACACAAGCAAGTCCAGTTGGACCAAAGAACAGGTTGCGCTAAGATGGCGGGCATCGGAAGCAGGTCTTTGCTGATGTAAAAGCTATGGCAAGATGCCCAAAACTTAGTGACGGGCTGGGAAGCCACACAAGCAGTGTGTGTGAAGGTTGATGCTCTGCCATACCGGACACTGGAGGCGTTAAATGAATCAAAGTGGGCCACAAAGGGACGGAAGATCGACAAACGGAGCAATATGCGACTTTGTGACAGCGACGCTGAAGCACACCCAGCTGCGAGCGAATGTGATGAGGTGAGAAACTGGAAATCCAATTACTCCTCTGCTCATCTCTGTGAGGTATTCTGGCCATTCCCCAGTGCACAGAGATCAGGTGCCTTCAAACATTGTAATTAGGAGCTCCTCTGAAGGGAGGAAGCCGTCCATTTTTGAACAGTCTCTATTCATGGAGCAATCTGTTCATAGCCAGCCCTGTGTTTTCATTGACTTTGACAATGCGTCCTACCCACATCCACAATTGTCACATCTAATTGTTATGCCTTGTGGGAAAACATTGAAAACAAATTGTTTTATTGAGCAACTGCCGTCAAGGGTGATTTCATAAAACAAATTGTACAAACTTGAGGAATGTAATTCAGTTCAGTTTGAGGGTCCTCATTTTTTTATTCTCTTTATTTTATTATCATTAATGTATTTGTTTGTTTGTAGTATGTGAAACTGTGTACCCTGAGGGAATAGAGCACAAAGGTTTCCAAATCTTGAAATAAATGTACTTTATATAATTTTATCTCGAGTATAATTGCCAGAATTGGGAAAATATACTCCATGATAAAAGTTTACAACTTGCACCTTTGCTATGGCAGTAATTGGAGTGATTGATCAGTATTGATAAGACAGCACAAAATACTTTTTATTGAACCCCATGGGATAATTTGGCCTCTGCATCTGACCTATCTTCACCTCTCAGGTATAATTGACCTTTGAAGAAAATGGAAATGTAAAAGTGAAGTCGCCAGCATACTGAATGAATTACATGCAAGTGTGCTTCATGAATGTTTCTTTTCACTATTTTGGTATCATGTCAGGCTTTCTCAAAGCACATAGTTTGTGAAAATCCCATCTTGCAGTGTGTTATGGCTAAATAAAAATGACTTTTTTGATCAATCTATATTAAATTTAAATTACTATGCTGATTGAAACAGACCTGTTGATGTTCACTTACTATAAGTGATTCATGCATATGACTCCAGTTCTGTGTAGACAGGCAGGCACTGATCAAACACCAAATATCAATGGTATTTTATTACCAGCTCAGGGTTAAATGGTAAATGGACTGCATTTATATAGCGCTTTCTAGTCACATGGCGGAGGCTGCCATGCAAGGCGCCACCCTGTACATCAGGAGCAGTGTGGGGTTCAGTGTCTTGCTCAAGGACACTTTGACATATTCTCTGGAGGAGCTGGGGATCGAACCAGGAGCCCTCTGATTCCGAGCCTGCAAGCTCTACCTCCTGAGCCATGCCACCCCATAGGTCAGGTTAGGTCAATTATTGGATAAAATTGGCAAAATAACCTTTATTTGTGCATTATCCAAATTTATAATCAATTAATCAGTTTGACAACTCTGGACCTGAATTATTCAGCAGCTGGCCTGTCCATTTAATAGGTCAGGATAATTTAAACACTCAGGAAGTTGGTTGCAGTAATGAATGTTTCAGCGAATAATCAGCTGCTGTTACAATAAAATGGCCATCTTTCAAGAAGTGTTTATTGTTCCTTCTGACCCTGTCATCCAGTGAGTAGTTACCCCAGAATTCCTAAACAGATAATGTCAAATGTCTAATACCCAGCATATGCTAGGTGAAGAAACATGCCAGCTTCTCATGCAGCTGAGCAGGACATAACTTAGAATTAGAAACACGTTACTGATGTTAATAGATTTTGAAGTGATTGATCCAAATCTGCCCATTGAGTGTTGCAAATCCCTGCAGTTAATTAGTAAAATAGAATTAAAAACACATTCTCCCTTTTGAGGCAGCAGAGGTCAAAATGACACGTGCTTTTTTTGGGCCAGTTGGAATACAGCATTGTCACACGTTATCACACTGTAAACTCAAGATACCAGAAGATAGCTGCATATAACTTGTTTCATTGTACAATGTATGATGTGAGGATTTGCTCTTTCCTCATTGATCAGAGCAAGCTCCGCTAGTCACTGTACACAGAGATATTCACCGCGCCAAAGTACGCAAGTGGTGAATGGCTCAATCTGACGACCTCGAGCTAAAAATAGATTAGGCTTCCCCACAGAAACTGCTGACAGCATCCGTATTTTGTGTCGCTTCGTTCCTGTGAGGAGCTTCACGTTACAGTTGTCCACTTTCTCTTATTTTATATTTTTAAGTAGGGTCATGAACTTGCTTGTGTACATCGGATTATTGTCCAACTGCATAATCCAACTGTGCTTGAGTTTTAGATCTCAAATTGATGGCCGGACATTCTCCTCTAGGATTTTCTGGTGGAGATCAGAATTCATGGTTCTGTCAATTAAGGTTAGTAGCCCAGGTCCTGAAAGAAGAAAGCAGCCCCAGACCATCACAGTACCACCAATGTTTTTGACTGTTGGTATGGTGTTCTTATTGTTGAATGCTGTGCCAGCTTTTTTGCCAGATGTAACGGAATCCATGTCTCCCAAAAAGTTCAACACTTGACTCATCAGTCCACAGAATATTATCCCAAAAGTCATGGGGGTCGTCAATATGCTTTTTTTTGGCAAATGTGAGACAAGCCTTTGTGGTATTTTTGGTCTACTGTGGTTTTCACCTCGCAGCTTATTTGTGAATGGCATTTTCATCCAGCCTGTTTCTTATTGCGGAATTGTGAATACTGACCTTTACCGAGGCAAGTTGGGCCTGCATTTTCTTTAGTGACCTCCTGGATGAATTTTTGATGGGCTCTTGGACAAATGTTGTTGGGCCAGCCACTACTTGATCGGTTCGACATTCTTCCAAGTTTTCTGCATTAGTAGATAATGACTCTCACCCTGGTTTTCTTGAGTCCCAGAGCCTTAGAAACAGCTTTGTTACCCTTTCCAAATTGATAGATGTCGCAAAGTTTTCTTTTCTCATCTGTTCTTGCTTTTCCTCTTCTTCTTCTCCTTTTTTTTTTAGATTGTGGATTCATCTGAGGCATTTTTTCTACTTCACATTGCCAGACAGGTTCTATTTAAGTAATGTTTAGAGTCAATGGGGCTGGGAGTAATCATGCCTGAGCGTGTCTAGTGAAATTGAACCCAATACTTTTCAACATAGGGCCAGGTAGTATTGTATAGATCAACCCTCCCAATAAATTAAATAATCATTTAAAAACGGCATTTTGTTTTTTTTTTTTTTTTGTCTAATATTAAAATCAGTTTGATCTGAAACATTTAAGTGTGACAAATATACAAAATAGAAGAAATACAACTTTTCTAAATTGCATTTATCTTTGAATCGCCCTTTGAATTACATTGTATCTACATAGATTATTTGTATTTTCCTACTAATGGATTATTCTATTCTTTGGAAAACTTAAAAAAAAAAAAAAAAAGAAATGAAGATGAGTCAAAATTAAGGTCAAGTATCATCAATTTAAAGGGATTTTTATGTCTCCTCTATTTTCAGCCCAGCTGCCACTACAACCTTGCTACCCTGTGAAGGAACGACCCCCAATCTCAATCTGTAGATCACAGCCCATAGCTTGTGACCATAGGTAAGCATAGAGATGAAGACCAAATGGCAGCTCAAGAGTTTTGCCTTTCACATCGCCTGCATTATTTTGATCGCAGCGCCCACATGGTGGCTGGTCTCCAGATCCCCTTCTCCCTCACTTGTGAATAAGACCCCAAAAACTTCAACACTTGATACCTGGTTCTCGTAATTCCCGCTATTCTTAAAGAGGACAGGCCGTATTCCTCCCGGAGAGAACCGTGGCAACAGACTTGGAGGTCCACATCCTCATCCCTACTGTTTCGCACTCAGCTGCAAACTGTTCCGGTGTGTGCTGACCGTGACTGTGCTTTGGGGCCAACAGTACAGCATCATTCACAAACAGGAGAGATTCCACCCATATGTCCATGAACAAGACACGCCATACCTCTGCTATACCCTCAGATCTCGTCAATGAAACAGGAGGGGAGGTGAGGCACCCTTTTGCAGAGTCTGACACCCACATTGACTTAATGCTGATAATTTGGACAAAGTTCTTCTTTCAGGCGGACAGCATATAGTGACCCCAGCACCTCATGCTTCTGCAGCAACTCCCACAAGATACCCTGAGGAATAAAGCACAGTCATGAGCCGTCCACAAATCCACAAAACACATGTTGACTGGATATGCACATTCCAGACAGTGCGCACATTATTCCTCGTGGGTCATGTGGTTCGATTTTGGCCGGAGCCTTCATTCCAGCCCCTTGAAGAACACTTTACCAGGGAGGCTGAGGAGTGAGAGTCCTCAATAATAAGAGTGCATCCTCCAGTCCCCTTTCTTAAAGATGAGGACCACAAAAAATGCACTGTTCCTGACTTCCTTACTGCACTGATGATTTGTTACAACAATGGCACTCATACAAAATCCAGGGCCTTCAAAATCACCAAATAAAAAAAAATAATAATCTGTTAGGCAAGTATATATTACTTATTTTACAACCCCAAATAATAATCATAAAAAAGTTGGAACAGTACGTCAAATTAAAATGAAAAATGAAACCGGTGATTTTGAGATTCTTTGACCTGTATTATGTGGAAAACGATACAACAGTGCATCATTAGAAGTTTGACTGCAAAAATTTAGTTTTCTTTAAAAAAAAAAAAAAAGATAAATCTTGATTCCTGCAACATATTTTTTCTTAAAAACGGGAAAGTAAAGTATTTACCGCTTTGTAATGTTTCTATAGCTTTTCATGTTGCACATTTGCATTTCAAAATGTGCCACTAGTTTTTTTTTCTTTCTTATTTATTTATTTATTTATTTATTTTCATTTATTTTTTAATACGGGGCAAGTCAGGACTGTTGTCCGGCCAGTCCATCATCCGCATGCAGCCATGCCTTTACAATGCGTGCGCCTGCGGTTTTGCATCGTCTTGTTGAAATATGCGTTAACCCTGGAAAAGATTGAAGCAAGCGAACGTTGCTCCAAAATCTCAGTGTTCTTTTCACCATTACTGGTGCCTTCGCAGAAGTGCAAACTGTTTTGGACCTCTCGCTGGAAACATGCCACATGGTCCTTTTCTTTGGTCTGGAGCCCACCGCATCCGTTGCTCCCAAAATAGACCAGAAATAATGATTTTTCTGACCATAGTACATGTCTTCACTGTGCAATGGTCCATCGCAAATGCCTCTGAGCCCAGAGAAGTAGATGACACATCAGGACGCTGCCAACAAAAGGTTTCCTTTTTGCACAGTTAAGTTTTAACTGCCATTTGTGGTTGTAAATACATTTTGAGGTACTCGAGGAAGGTTAATCAAAGTAACTCTGCGCTCAAATGGTAATATCACATAGACATATTACTGTTCTTAGTGCAGAACCATATGACTGATAATAAATCTCATGTATTCATCCTTGGCCCTTTATATACAGAATGGTGAAATATCCAAATCCCTTTGTATTTTTTTTTCTTAAGAACCATTGTTTTGACACATTTTAAATAATTTTCTCATGTACGTTGTATTTGTGGGAAAATTGGCAATCCTTGGGCCATCTTTTTTCCTGAAGGGCTAGTCCATTCCTGGATGTTGCTTTTGTACTAAAACATGATTAGTCACTTGCTAAAATCAGCTGTTTCAACTCAGATCATTATTCAAATTTTTCTTGCCTCATTACTTGTCCTATATTGCCTTGATCCCAGCAGTTTCGTAATGTGTTTCAGGGCTGTATGGCTGGAATATGTAGAAATAAAATGAAACTTACCAGACAAAGCATTGAATATCTTATCATATTGTTTGCAATGAAACACAAGCGGAAGTGAACTTAAAAGTCAATGCTTTCAGTTTTTATGTTCATGTTCCACACCGGTTGTGATGCAATATGAGCACAGTTTGCAGAGCAGTCAACATTTTGCATCACATAGAAAAGTATTTAATTGGAAATATCAACAAAGGCTATTATTAGCTAAATGCATAGCACTGCGTATAAAAAATGTCCTGCCTGATATTATACACCATGACCAGTCTGGCTTTATACAAGGACGAAATATTGCAAATAATATAAGACAATTACTTGAAATTTATAGAACATTATGATAAAATAAAGAAACCAGGTTTGGTATTTATAGCAGACTTTGAGAAGGCCTTTGATAAAATAAGATGGGATTTTATTTATCAATGTTTAGAATTTTTTTTTAAATTTTGGTGAGTCTCAAATACAATGGGTTAAAGTTATGTACAATACCTCAGTCTCCAAAATTATAAATAATGGTTATATTTCAAAACCCATTCCACTTTCACGGGGGGTAAAACAGGGTTGCCCATTATCACCGTATTTATT